TCGGTGCGTTTGCGCGCTGCTGTCGGGGATGGGGCTTACGGGTGGATTGTTTCTTTTACTTGAAAGGAAGTGGGTGTGATGTAGAGTGTGAGGTGTATCTGCTTCTCTTCACGTCTTTCTCTTGCTTCTTATCAGTCAGAAACAAAGCAAGAGATTACAGCTCCATCCACATTTATTGGTACTCCGGTCAAAAGAAAAGTGTCAAAACCCTGAAAATAAATTATAGGGTTTAGGGTCAATAAAGTTTCCTGGGCCCTGAATATCAGGATGTTATTCGCCCACATTAAAAAATAATTTTATGACTACATTTGGCGCACCAATCAAACCCTTTAAAATGAAATAAAACCAGGCGTTAGATTCTGAGGACAACTGGAACTGAGGCTTGGCGAGGACGCACGTTTTTCAAATGACTGTATAAACTTACTTTATGAACAAATTCCCACTATTTCCTCCTGTCTTCTTGGGATCCAGCTAATTAATGACTTGATAGTTGGTTGAATCAGCCTTCATCTTCCATACTGTACCAACTTGTCGTTCAGTATGGAAGACATTTGCATATCTTTTTTATCCTTCTTGACTGAGATCCTAAATGATCTCATTACTCAGTTGGGTATTTCCGTCCAGACATCCACCCTCTTGGTCCCTGCGGCGGTCCAAGGGGTAAATATTTTAATGGCAGCCATGTGGCGGTCTTGAGGATGTAAACAGTGTCTGTAATGCTAAACACTTGGCTAAGTGGATGAGCTCAGAAGGTGCCGAGTGAGTCATCGACTGGCTGCAGTTGAGTCTAAACAAGCCGGAGGAAGATGATCGTTCTGCTCCCAGGCCTTTCATTTGCCTTCGTTCCGCTTCGTCGGCACATTCCTGTCTGATTCGGGCCGAGCAGCCGGCCGAAACATGGGGCCGGAGAACAGAGGCGGCGCAGAGGTTGTGCACTCTCACCCCGCGGCGGGCGGCGCACAGGGCAGAGTGGTGACCCTCAAACCATCTGCTGGCTTTCACCTGGCTGACAAGCAAGGCAGAAACCTGTGTTGAGTTGGAACACCTGTCGCATTTTCCCTTGAGCCCCAGAGCAAAGATTCTTGATAATGTTATATTTTTCTTCCCCCTTCGGAGCCGAAATATTTTCTGGTAAATATTACGTTACATGTTGAAGGTGCACATTTGCCAGCAGTCTGCATGTGAGTAGGCTCTAATGGGAGATGCATTTGTGTTTCCCTTTCCATGTTTGGCTAATGGCTCCATGTGCAGTCAGTGTGACTAAAGAGACAAAGTTCTCACAGCAATCACATCAGTTCCATTCTTCTTCTTCTCTTTTTTTTTCCCAGTGTGGGCGTTCAGAAGCGTAAAAAAGCACTTTGCCGTGGCTCGTGCAAATAGTTTAACCCAGTAAAACACAAGTAAACAGCTTTGATGTTTCTGTCTTCCTCCCCTGCACTGTGATGTTTTTCGGGAGCGGCGAGCAAATGTGATTTGGGATGATGAAATGCGCTCAGCGTGTCTTCCAACTCACAGAGGGGGGGCTCCAGGTAAGCTCTACCTGCTAACCGACTGTTAAGCCGAGCGTCCGAGCCCGCCCCGCCCTCTCCCCCGCGGGGTGCGGGGTGGCTGGAAAACAGAACTCGAGCTCTGCTGGAGATTAGAGCGAGGGAGGAGGAGGCGGTTGAGAATCGTGTGTCGCTTTCCAATCGTGTCATCAGTCCCTCAGATGAGCGACGTCGGGGTGTGAGTCAGCCCAAGCCGCCGCGGCTACAGCATCGACGGCGGCCGGGTGGAAGGCATGAACCACAGGGCCTGCACATTCAATTCACACAAACGATCACATCTTCCATAGCTACATCCCTCATTTACTGCCGTTCATAGTCTGTTCAGAGCTGCAATCTGTGTCTAAGTGCTAATAAAGATGGAAACTGTCACGATCTGGCATATTTAGATGTATATTAAGACATGATTCTTCAAGAATTTTGTGCTTTCAAGTAATTGGCGATCTAAAGCAGACAACTTATGTGTGAAGACAAAACCTTTCTAGATCGGATTCAGTGTTGGAAACGTTTTTTGTTTCACCGGATTCCTCCTGTGGCTAAAGAGCCAGCCGAATTTATCACCTGAAAGTTTGACTTTCCTTGCCAACCAAATAATACTCAGCGGCTCACTTTACTCTGCCTGTGATTTTCAGACCCTGGCGCCTCTTTGAAGTTTCACTTTCTCGCTCTGTTGGTTTTACTCACTTGTACTTTGTAAGTCTACCTGGCCGTATTTCCTTTAATGTTCCTGCTCAGATCTTTAACAGGCGCCCTGGCTTGTATAATGCCCTGCTACCTCATACCTCTCCTGCTGGTTTCCAGGGAGAGTTTGCCCTGTCTATGCCTGCCTTCCCCCCGCCGTCCGCGCTCTCTCTTCCGGCCGCCGTTAATGGCCTGGCTCGGGGCTTCGGGGTTTTGTTTGCAGCAGCGGGAGGTCGCCGGACACGACGTACGGTTCCCGAATTCCTCCCTGAACCTGGACACACAACCCACCACCTCACCCCCCTCCACGCCCCCCTCAGGTGCAATGGGTGAACAAAGGTGGCGGACAACCGGATTACTGTGGAACTCTATGTTTTTTTTGTTTTTTTTTTACCACCATCTTGTTTATTAGGTTCACAGAGGAAAGCTGCGTAAGTGTTTTCCTAATTGACTGCCTAATTAGAAAACCTAAACATTCTTGTTGCTGAGGATCAGCCATTAGAAGGGAAACGGGCTTAACTGTGCAGGAGGTGCAGCTTCATATACCCGCATGCAGGAGGAGGAGGCGGGAGGAAAATCACATGCAGAACTACTGAAATTACAAAACTTAAATGAGCTTGCATATTTTTATTTGGATGAAGGGAACATTGCTTCTACTGTCAGTTGCAAAGCTGTTGAGTCGGCGAAACAAAACGAACTGCAAGGACTCCCCCTTGTGCCGGCTGTCCAAACTGCAGCAGTAGAAGTTCTGTCAAAGATGCTGCAGGTTGAGCTTGTTTTAGGGTAACAAGAATTGTGCTAGTTTAATTATTTAAACTGTATGTTTCTACAAAAAAATTAAAAAACAAACACAAAAAAACAAAACTTGTAAACTTTTACACTTCACGTCATTAAAATAATGATTATTTGCTGTATTTTTAGTGTACTCCTGCCAGTTTTCACTGTAAAACCAACAGATGTTTTTTCTACAGTGTATAGTGAGCTGAGCAGCTCCTGCTGCAGCAAAGCGTCCCCAAACCATGACGCCTCCACCTCCGTGCTGCACCGTTTCCTGGATCCTGGATTCGGTTGATTTGGCCAAACGCGTCTTGTCCTCTGGTGTCCAAATAATTCAGCTGTGTCTTCTTCAGCCTGGTGCTTATGTCCTCTTTTTCATGTCTTTGGAGACGTCTCCTATCACTCTGGAGTTTGCCCTCGCTGTGAATGTCCAGATCGGACCGCCAGATCTGGATTTGGATTCCCTGCACTTTGTTTTGCAGCGGCTCTCCTGTGCACTAATATTTCTCTTGCTCCTCTTCATCTTCCTCCTGCCGTTTTTCCTTCCCTGCTCCGTGTCAAATGACTCGACTTGTATCTGTCTGTCACCTCCCTTTCATGTCCCTCCCTCCCCGCCGCTCCATCCTCCTGACAGTTGACTTGGTACGGCAGCAGCAGACTGGGGAGTATTTTTAGCGCGTCACAGATGGGGGGCCGTGGCAGCGCGACAGAGACCAGAGTGTTCTTTATCTCAGCTGTCACTCGCTTTTCTGCTGGGCTTTTCTCTCTCTGGACCAAACATGGATGCTGTCCACTTGGAGAGGGAGATGAAGGAGAAGAGGACGGGGGGGCTAAGGGGGGTCCAGTTCTGCCCCCTCAAACTGAAGTTTTCATTGTCTTGCAGCTGCTCTGTCAGCTCCCCGGTGGGATCACTTGAGGAAGCGATGCGTGTCGTTCTTTTACATGAAACTGAATGAAGTTTGAAGTTTTATTTTAAGATGAAGTGACCTAGTCAAAGTCCGGAGTTTAAATCTGATTGAACTGCTAAGAAGACTGTGAGCATCATCGTCATGATAGTTACTTTGCATAAGTAGTCAGACTGCTTTTCCTTTAATAAGCCAGTATTTGCAGCTGCTTTTAGTATTTATGTATTAATATTACTTTAAAGATAAGAAACATGAATTTGTGATTAAAAAAAAAGAAAAAAAGCACTTTTTTCTGCTTTGAATATGAACGAGTTGGAACTGTGTGTGCCTCCAAACCTTCGCTGGGGCAGTTTTTATAGAAATGACTGACTGTAGGAGGGGGCGGGGGGAATAACGGCTGATCAATAAATGGATCAAACATTTTTCCTCCTCCAGAGGCAGAGAGGGAGGGGCGGCCGCTCTCTAATCAAAGCGAAGGTCTTCCTCTGAATCTTCCTGCTCTTTCAGCCTCATTTCCATCCCTTCCCCCGAAGGAAGCGCGCGGCAGTCCAGGTCTGACCTTCAACCTGGACAGCTGATGTGGAAATAACGGCGCCGACGCTGGCATAAAGCGGCAGGCGGGTAAACAGGAAAACACAAGGCTGATGATGATGGTGATGGAACCATCTAATTGTCAGCTTCATTAGCGATTTTCAAAGGCAAGGTCACCCGAGCGATCAAGACCGGGAGGCACCGAAGCACAACAAACGGTTCCGAATTAAGACACCAGAGAAGAAGTCACAGACAGTCCAAGGCCTGGTGTTTAAACTCTGCATCGCTGCTCTTCCTTCCAGCCTTTGTGTTTTTTTTTCTCTTTCCAAGCCTGGAAAATGCTGCTACAAATTCCAGGCTTTTCCAGACTCGCTTAGGAACAGCAGCCAGTCACCAATCAGAAACCGACCCTGCATCTCCGTAGCAACAAAACCAAGGCTTCATCGTGTTGTTTCTGTTTCTTTAATTAAATCATAGTTTATGATTGGGAGTTCAGCATAACAGCCATTACATGATAACAATAAATGTAGCTAAATTTACCTGCATCTCAAGTAAACCCAGTATTTTTGGGGGGGTGAGTAACTAGTGACATTTACCCAACACCATTTGCTTGAGCAACAGTTTTGAAAAAAAAATCTGCTCTTATGTGAGTAAAATGTCTGCATTCTCTTACTCTTACTTAAGCACAATTTTTGGGGACTCTACCCACTTCTGTCTGGGCTCCACAGGACCCCTGCGGTGACGTGTTGTTGTGGTCGGATTTGTTACCTGCAGTACCTCTTCTCCTGCGGTAGCTGGCAGTAGCGAGTTAACGTCTCGGGAGCTACGTCACAACACAGAGAGGCTGCGCAGCAACACTGCGGCATCTGCAGTGTGTGAATGCATTCTGTGATTTCTTTTCTTTCTATTTACCTTTAATAGTCGAGTACTGCCTCATTTTATTACGCTGTTACGGTGTTTTCCGCGCCGCTTGACGCTAACGGCTAGAATTAGCTCCGAGGCTAAGCTAAGTCCTAGCCGCTTCGCTAGCATGGACGGTGTGGGCGTGTAGCTCTGCGCAGAAACCAGGTGGCGTTTCTGTGGCTTCACGTCGAGTATTTAAGACACTGTTTTCACTTTTTATTCTCCTGTGTTCGATGTAGACATAAGCGCTTCCGGCTTTTACATATAGACGGTGAAAATGGACAAGCGAGCTTTGAAGAATCCTTATCATGACTACGATGGGAACCCGGCTTCCACGCAGGCGCTGTTTGACTCTGAGGGGAAGGTAAGACGCAGAGGAGGGGGACGGAAGGGGGACACACGCGAGCTTTTGGGTTTAAATCCTTCTTTTCTCCTCCAGCTCACTCCGGCGTTTGCCCAGAGGCTGAGCAGCACGGTCAGCGAGCTGTTGGCTGACATGGAGAATGGACTGAAGTCTGCTGACCCCAGAGACTGCACCACTTACACCGGCTGGGCAGGTAAGGGGCGGAGCCACACTGGGCGGCAGGAAGTGACACTGATGATGACAGAAGCTGCAGGAGCATAGGAAACATTGGTTCTACGAACTTCAGCAGTCACACCAATGTGAACCAATTGTCCAGCATGGTAGTGGCAGTGTCATACTGTGGGACTGTTTCACTACTAGTGGCAGCATCATGCTGTGAGCATTTTTATTGTTGTTTCCCCTGCAGTAAGTTAATCAGACTCTGTTACAGGAGCAGACATGTTTCTGTCCAGACTGACCCGCAGCTAGTGATGTTTGCCGTCTGTTTCCCTGCAGGCATCGCTTTGCTCTACCTGCACCTCCACAGAGTCTTCCAAGAGGCCTCCTTCCTGCAGAGGGCGCTGGACTATGTCACCCGCAGCCTGAAGCACCTCACTCGTCGCCATGACGTCACCTTCCTGTGTGGAGACACGGGACCGCTGGCCGTAGCTGCTGTGGTCTATTCACGCCTGCAGAGGGCGCAAGAGGCCGAGGACTGCATCAGCAGGTTGGGGCAGGCTGGACCCAGGACTGGACATGGAGCCAGGTCTGGACTGTAGGCCTGTGATCTGACCGCTGTGGTTCTGCTGCTCTGCCTCCAGGCTGCTGCAGTATCAGCAGGCGGTTCTGAGCGAGTCCGGTGGGCTGCCAGACGAGCTGCTGTACGGCCGGGTGGGCTTCCTGTTCTCCCTGGTGTTCCTGAACCAGCAGCTGGGTTCGGACCGGGTCCCGCTGCACTGCATCCAGCAGGTCAGTGAGGCGGTTCTGGCGTCGGGCCAGCAGCTCAGCAGAAAGCTCCGCCTCCAGAACCAGAGCCCGCTGATGTACGAGTGGTACCAGGAGAAGTACGTGGGTGCTGCCCACGGCCTCGCCGGCATCTACTACTTCCTCCTCCAGGTGGGACGCAGGTCCTGTCCCTCACCATGATGCTGCCGCCGCTGCTGTGGTTCTTACAGTGTGTTCTGGTCCAGCCGGGCTTCGTCTTGTCAGGGGAGCAGGTCCTGCGGCTGGTGCAGCCCAGTGTGGAGCACGTCTGCCGCCTGCGCTTCCCATCTGGGAACTACCCGCCCTGCATCGGGGATGACCGGGACCAGCTGGTGCACTGGTGCCACGGAGCCCCCGGGGTCGTCTACATGCTGCTGCAGGCCTACAAAGTCAGTTCACCCTGCTTGTGTCTTCTAGTTTTGGTGTTCTGCGCCTGTAGGCGCCGTCTAGTGGTGGTGTTCTACTGCTCCAGGTGCTGGGGAACCCACGGTACCTGGAGGAGGCGCTGCAGTGCGGGGAAGTGGTGTGGCGCTGGGGGCTGCTGAAGAAAGGCTACGGCCTCTGCCACGGCGCCGCCGGCAACGCCTACACCTTCCTGAGCCTCTACCGGCTGACGCAGGACCCCAAACACCTCTACAGGGCCTGCATGGTGAGCACAACACGTCCACTTCTTCTTCTGCTCTGACTTTGACATTGACTTTGGTTCAAAGCAGCTGCAGCAGTCAGACTCGCAGCTGCCGCTCTCAGCCCTCTGATTGAAATCCTTCTGCAGTTTGCAGATTGGTGCATGAACTACGGTCGCCATGGCTGCCGGACACCAGACACCCCCTTCTCTCTGTTCGAAGGTACGAACCGCAAAAATGAGTGAATGATGCATAGAATATGTTATTGTAGGAGTTTTGCAGGTTTTTACTGTCTTCTGCTCCTGTCTTTCATTCATTTCTTGCAAGTTTTTTTTTGGTGAAAATTGCAGACGCATTTGAAGTCAACCACAAAATATTCAGCTTACAGGACTCACACTGCACTTTTCATAGGAGTTAGATTTTTTTTCTCGTCTATCTTCTGTTTTTGATGCATGTTCCCTTCTGGTTGCAGGCATGGCGGGCACCATCTACTTCCTGGCTGACCTTCTCCAGCCAATGACGGCCAGGTTTCCAGCTTTTGAGGTCTAAACCCCGCGATCCCCACTCCTGTGCAGAAACAAGGCCTGCTGTCGTATGCACGCAGAGACGCATCATCTTTAGTCCCGCAGCACAATGTGGCGCAACGCAGACCTTTCTCGTTTGTTTTCAGTACCCAGAATGCAAAGAGGGGGAAAAAATAGTTTCCAAGTGTTCTAAAGTCTTGATTAAAAAAAATAATAATAAGTTGTGTATTTTTGTTTTGCCAAATTTTAATAACACTTTAAAGGCTGTACTTAAAAAGTTTCCTGAAGTTTCAGTGTCAGCGAGGAGAGTCCAGCAGGTGGCAGCAGAGAGTTATTAGGGGAACTAGTTAAAGTTAACACCTGGTCCCAGCATTAGGGGTTTATTTCACAGCCAGATCAGTTTAATAAACCAGAAAACAAACACAGGAATGTGTCGGGTTTAATAGTAAAGCTCATAAGGGAAAAATCAAATATGATCCAAACAACCTGGGAGATTTTGAATCCGCTTCGATTGGATATTTGTTTCAAAACGTTCTCCAGAAACCTGTCTGTTTTGTGGTTCCGCCGTGCAGCAGAGCTGCAGTTGCTGCAGAGCTGCAGTTGCTGCAGCAGTGGCTGTAGAAACCCAACACGTCCTGCAGGACAGCAGGTAAAAATAGAGCTCATCTGTGGCCCCCAGAACGCGCCTGCTGCTCCTACCAATGTCCTCCAACGCTCGTCTTCCTGCTGGACCCCCACCGCTCCGTTACAGTGTCAGGAAATATTTGTAAATATGAACTGAGATGAAATGTGTCTGATTCCATGTGGTGGAATAAAGTTTGCATTAATTCCAGTATAATCAGCTGTTTGCTTAAATATTCATGCAGATTCTGGTTTACTTAGATGCTAAGTAAATCCTTTCATTGTCTCAAAGTAAAGATTTTTCTACTTGGGTAAGTATGATCATTGATTGTCCATCAAACATTTACTTGCAGATTGGACCCGGGGAAACCAGTAAATGTCAGTTTATTCTTAAATTCTCACCCGAAAAATTCAACTATTATCACAGAGATTGGATATTAAAACACCACGGCTCATGCTGTTTTGGGAAAAGCCATAGAAAACATGGATAATATTGAAACCTCTCAATCCCCCATTCAGTCAGACTTTCTCATAAAATCTAAACTTTTTCATAGAACTGAGGAGTGATCAACTTACCAGTTTCTCAGACGAGGTTCAGAGCAGTTTCCTCAGAAACGCTTCCTGCATTTTTAGATCCAAGTTAAAGGACATCATCTCCAGGTACCCTGAGGCACATCATGGCCGTGCTGAAGGAGTTAACCACAGGGGTTAACCTGGCGTCTCTGGAGGAGCTGCAGTCGCCAACAGCCCAGGTGGGAGAAACTTATTTCACTCTCGAAATCTTCAAGACTGGTTACAGTTTCCAAATATATATACATATTGCTTTCTTTTCTGTGATGAATTAATTTCCCATGACAGAATGACACTAAATATACTAGTGGTGATGTTTTAGATTTATTTTACCACCAATAAATTGGTAACCGTGCCTTATTTAACTTTCCATAAATTTCAACATCCTGCTTCAAGTTTTTTTTTTATGTCTTCAAGCCTGAACGCATATAGAAAATGGGGTTCTTTAAAAATGACAAAATTTTCTAAAATATTTGTCAAAAGTGTTCTTTTTTTCCCCCCCAAGGGGAAAACACTGCTCTCCGGGGTAAACAAGTCTGAATAAGCCAGACTGAGAAAAAAAAAATCTGGATTTTAGGATTGAGGCCTAGTCAAAGTCCAGGTAAGAATCTGTAGTAAGATTTGAAAAGCAATGATTAGTATCGCTGAGTGCAAGTATTGTAAATTATCATTGTTCTCCCTCAGAGCCCTTTTAGGAATGGGAAGGTCAAAGGTCATTTCAGTTTCGTAGAACTTCGATGGACATCATGTTCTCTGGCTGTTTATTAAAACCTAAAGAAAACCCGTTGTTCTCTGGATGACTGTTGGGTTTTACTCTGCAGGTAAAACGAAGGATGTTCCAGTTCAGCCTTCAGGTTCAGCAGCTCCATACCTGCCGGAGAGCAGCCAACGTTTCGGCAGCTTTTCCCCCTGCCATCATTTCACCATATGAGGAGGAGAGTTCTGTCTGATTTAAAAATACCACCTAGTAACCGAGCTGAACGGGTCAGCGACCCGTCTGGAGACTGCCGCTGAGTCTGCTGCCTCTTCCCTGCATCGAGGGTCTTCCAGAAACATCTCCTCCAAACAAGTTTCATCATTTAACCCTTTCCCAATAAATAGATCATCATAAATCCAATCTCAGGGTCTAAAAATAGCCTTTCCCCTTCTAAAGGCTCTGAGGGGAGACGGCTCTGCTTTCCCTAAGAAAGTTAAAGATGTCCCAATGTCATCCGATCCCTCCTCCCTCACCAGGAGCTGCGTGACATCACATGCCGAACATAAATAAGGGGGCTTTGACCATGGCTCAGGACCACTCTGTCTCCGGACTTCAGCTTCTCTTCTCCTTCCTTTCCGCTCCTCCGTGCGCCTACTCTCCAAAATGGTGTGTTGGTGATTCTGGACGATTTCAATAGGGGGGCGGTGGAATTTCTTGGTCTGGATTTACTCTCTCAAAAGTTTGTAGTAGAATAAAAAAAAAATTTATCTGGTTATCAGGGATTTAAGAAATATCCAGAGTTGAGAAATCCATCACCTTTAGCTTCATTTGGAATGAAATTGCTTTATTTTGTTTCTCATGTGTTTGTTTTTGTGTGTTTTTATACGACAGACAGAGTTCTCAGCGGACCAGATTGAGGGTAAGTCCAGAAGATGCCCTTAGCTTCACAATACCTTCCTGTGATCTGGTTATTTCGTTGAGTTTTTTACATTACCAGACCAACGAGTGGCAGAGTCAGCTGTAGGAGATTCCAACATCTTGTCTTTGGTTATCTATTCTAAGACGACCTAGGAGTGTCTTAGACGTGTTAATCCCCAAGTCAAAGGTCAAGATCCCGTCCCTGTGGTCCCCTGTTGAAAGATGTGTCCAGGCAGGCTTTGTTCTGTGTCCAGGGTGTTTTAGTCCTGTTCCAAGGAGGCGTTGGGAACGCCTCAGTCAGCATTCTCAACCCAAGTCTCTATATGGCCTTGGCGTCTCTATCAGGGTATATCAGTTTGCTCCAAGCAGCAAGCAGGAATGAGGAGGGGTCAGGGTGGGGAGGTACAGCTGTTGCCGCTAGGCGACCATAAATCTCTCAAAAAGGTCACTTTGAGTTCCTGATGGCCTTAGTAGAGATGACAAACCTTCGTCTGTACCCTGGTTTTTCTCTTATCTGCTCAGATACAGCTGTCACATCCAATTAGCCGCGAACAATGACAAAAGCATGGAGCTCAGAGTATTTAATCTCTCAATCAAGCCTGGCTTCGCACAGCTGTCGCCTACAAGAATGTTGTAGTCATAGAAAACCCAGCGTTGAGTCTGAAACGTTTAACTCAAAGGCTTTTCTTGCCTTCCCCCAGACTTCAAGGAGGCTTTTGGTCTCTTTGACAGAGTTGGTGACAGCCAGGTGGCCTACAACCAGGTGGCCGACATCATGCGCGCTCTGGGCCAGAACCCCACCAACAAGGACGTCACCAAGATCCTTGGCAACCCCTCCGCCGACGGTAAGAGGCCAGATGCCTTCTTGAGAAGTGGCAGCTGTTGTCTTGCGTCTCCCTAAGACGAGTGCGATGTGAACCAACAGACATGGCCAACAAGAGGCTGAACTTCGACGCTTTCCTGCCCATGCTGAAGGAGGTTGATGCCCTCCCCAAGGGTAGCTATGACGACTACGTTGAGGGTCTGCGTGTCTTCGACAAGGAGGGCAACGGAACCGTCATGGGCGCTGAGCTGCGTATTGTGCTGTCCACTCTGGGTAAATTTAGACACGCACAGTTTGCTTAGTGCAGTAGAAATAGAGATGCTGACACAGATCCTTGGTGTTCCACAGGAGAGAAGATGAATGAGACCGAGATTGATGCCCTCATGGCCGGACAGGAAGACGAGAACGGCAGTGTACACTACGAGGGTAAGCCATCTGTCTTACTCTCGTAAGCAATAGAGAGACAGGTTTGGTTTTATCGTGACAGGACGCTAATGATCTGAACTTCCTCCTTCAGCTTTCGTCAAGCACATTATGTCTGTGTAAGAGGCCGGCAGCAGGAGTGCTGAAGAAGCTGTAGCTCGCCTACAGACCGCCCGGCAGCGTTCAGGACATCAACACTGTTTCAAAGACCAACCAAGGAAAGACAAGGACTATGTACAAGGGATGTTGAAGCAAACCCATCTTGTTGTTTATTTTGTTTTCCTTTCCACTTCGTCCCAAAACCTGCTCTCTCAGGACATCGTTGTAGACCCCATCACTCGGCCTCTGCTCTCCCCCCGGGGCGCGTCGCCTCTCGCTATATGGGGTGAGGAACGGGGGAGAAGGGGTGACCGCTCACCAAGTGAGGGTACATCCCTCCCTTCCCACCGCCACCTCATTCAGTCCCATCATCACTGGCCCAGCAATGCCAAAGGTGCTGGAGAAACGATGAGGTCAGACCGCCAGAAGTTCCCGCCTCCCTGAAAAGTTGTATTTATTTTCACTCTGAGCCACTTCAGAATAAACCTTTCCACCATACATCCCACCTGGGCTGATCCTTGATCTTTCATTCTTCATTCACAGCTAGAGGTTTCTCTATACCACTGCATATCAGTTGATTTCAAGTCAAATCTCACATATAATTTTACTTAATCTTGTGAAATATCACAAATTAGGACCGCTATGTGATTTAACCCTATATTATAAATAAGAAATGTCAAAAATTCAGTAGCATCCCAAGGTTTACTGGCTCCTTCTATAAACGAGGTTCAAAATTAGGCCAGTCTCATTCTGTTGATCTAAATGTGGAAAATTAAAGCATGTAAGGGTTTAGGCAGCATATACACTCCAAAGAGCCATTTTTGAGCTCTGTTCAGTTCAATAAAACTTGTTTAGAACCACAAATAGTACATACCTCGTAATTTTTGATGAATATTTACAGTTCGAAATTTATCTTTGCAAGAACCACCTTTTTATTTTTAGGTTTTGGGAGGAAACCTAAAAATAAAAAGCTTTAAAAAAAAGTTTGAAAAATTAGTCTCCAGTCTAATGCTCAGAAAATGGATGAAAAACATCACTGGTACTCTCTGTCTCACTCTTTTGGGGGAAATTAATAAAACAAAAACAAACAAAAAACCCAGCTAAACCCTACATTAGTTTCACGACATCAATATTTTTCAAATTTTGATCATTTCACATCTTTATGATTCTCATCCAAAGATTAATCATGTCATGCTCCAATGATGATGATGTCGTGACTCTTAGTTGCCTTAGAATGTTATTGAAAAGTTAATTTAATTCATCAACAGGTGAAACATATTGTATAGCTCAAACAAAGACGGATGTTTTAAAACCATTATTTCTCTTTATTAAGGTGATCTTCTGCTGACAGACAATAAAAACACAAAATCTATTCTAACATGGGTCACTGTATTCTTCTTAGTCTCTGATTGACTAATTGCTCTAATCAAAGACTGAAACTACAGACCACAAAACAACCCAAGAGCCTCACACATCCTCCAAAGTCATGAGGAAAAAAAGCTGTGGTTTAGAAAAGAAGTCTATTACGTCATCAGTTTCATTTACTTCCTCATTTGACTCTCTTTTCCTAACCCTTTCGTTTCCTTTTGTTATCGTCTGCTGGTGTTTAAAGCTCAGCTTGTGGCCATTGGCTCCAAATTAAGGTAATGCAATCAGATCATAATGTTCTGAATAACTGCAGATGCATACTTCCTGTCGAGAGTAAAGCGAGTTGTTGTTCAGAGGGAGGAAGCGGAGAGGAGCCGCGACTCTTCCCGCCGCCTCTCCTCCTCAGGGCGGCCTGAGAAGGAGCGGAGACCCGCTGGAGATCGCCTCGCCTTCACATTTGCTGCAGAACGCCGATCGGCCTCAAGGGACGGGTGTTCTTTCCTGATCGTCCCAACACATGCAACTGGAGATCTGATGAGTTGATGGGAGTTCAGCGCCATGGATCACGGCAAGGAGGAAGAACAAGAGAGGAAGAGTTTGTTGTTCAAGAGTCCAAAAAAGTGAGCTCACCTTCTCCAAGATCCCAAGAATTTCAGCATAGTAATGGACTGTCTGCTTCAAGGTTTCTTTGTGTGTCATCAAATATCTTCACAGATATGCAAGCAACGTGGAAACAAAGTTACTAGATGTTGCGATAGATTGGCCAGAGACACGCATCATGACTGATAAAGAAAGGTGAGCTGTTTCTACATGTTGTAGCGTAAAATTTAACCCTATATTATAAATAAGAAATGTTAAAAATTCAGTAGCATTCCAAGGTTATATTGGCTCCTTTTATATACACTCCAAAGAGCCATTTTTGAGCTCTGTTAAAATCAATAAAACTTGTTTAGAGCCACAAATAATACATAACTCGTAATTTTTGACAAATATTTATAGTTCAAAATTTATCTTCGCGAGAACCACATTTTTTATTTTTAGGTTTTGGAAGACAGGAGAAGCTTTAAAAAAAGTTTGGATTGGAAAAGTGTGGACAAAATGTTTTAAAAGCACAAAGTCTCCAATCTAATGCTCAGAAAATGGATCTAAAACATCACTGGTACTCTCTGTCTCACTCTTTTGTGGAAATGAAATTCAAAAAAACAAAAAACGGCTAAACCCTGCATTAGTTTCACTCCATCAATATTGATCAAATTTTGATCATTTCACATCTTTATGATTCTCAACCAAAGATTAATCATGTCATGCTCCAATGATGATGATGTCGTGACTCTTAGTTGCCTTAGAATATTATAAAAAAGTTCATTTAATTCATCAACAGATCACAAGAATTTCAGCATAGTAATGGACTCTTTGCTTCAAGGTTTCTTTGTGTTATCAAATGTCTTCACAGATATGGAAGCAAAGTGAAAACAAAGTTACGAGATGTTGAGAGAGATTGGTCAGAGACACGCATCTTCACTCATAGAGAAAGGTGAGCTGTTTCTAAATGTTGTGGCGTAAAATGTAACTGAGTCACTTTAAAAAAAAAAAAAAAATATATATATATATATATATATATATATATATATATATATATATATATATATATATATATATATATATATATATATATATATATATAAAATACATCACTTCAATGGCCTTACTGGAAAAGAAATGCCCATTACATTTAATGTAGGTTGTTACCCATAGTACCCAGCAGGGGGCGCTGTAGTTTGGTTCACGTTGAGTTAGCGCCTTTCACGTTGAGTTAGCGCCTTTATTTCAAGAGAAAAATAAGAGAAAGTGTTGCTAGGCTCCTTTTAGTCAGCACTTTGGGCTGAAATATCCCACGGACAACAGAAAGAGGAGGATATTCTTCGTCTTTATGACACAGGACTGTAGCGCTCATTTTTCGGAACCGGCTAACGGCTAAAGGCAGCTGGACTTTACCGCCATAAACTTTGCAGCCCTTGGACAGCGGAGCGAGGTACGTGTTTGCGAAGTTAGCGTTACCACGCAATGTACTCATGTTTCGCGTCGAACTAAGGCACTTAAGCGAATGTATTTTCTTTTCTTGTGGTTTTCACCGTGTATTTGGAACCAATAAACTTGGTTTCAAAACAAAGGAAATTTCGTCGAAGCTCTCCGTGTTTCGCAATGAAGTTAGTTTCAGGTTGGTTATTGGGTATTCGCGGCCATTGACGGCTAATGACGGCCAAGTTCACTTAGGGACCGTCAACAAATTTCCGAACCAGACACTCCTGTCAAACAAACGCTAATTGTCTTGTGGTCATCTGACAAAAAAAAAGTGTCGATTCGTGCTGTTACATGAGACACACTGTCCTCTGTTAACATGTTCATATTCATATTCAGTATTTTAAACAATGTTAGTATTCAATATAATTGATTTTGAGTCAGTAGGTCCAACATTGTTATATGACCTAGAAGCTAAAATACAAAAACTTTTGACAAAAAAATTAAACAAAACAAAACAAAAAAAAGCTTAAAAAAATTAAAATATGACTAAAAATGAAATAATATGACCTAAATATGGTGTCACAGGATTAGCACATGAAAGGCTAGTTATTTAGAGATAAATAATCCAAGATCTGACTGTGTAAACTGGAGTACCACAGGGGTGAATCATTGGACCAAAATTTATTTTCGAGATCACATCAATGATGCCGATTACATAGATCCACATTGGCAAAGTATTCTCTATGCAGATGACACCACTTTTTTTTCTATTCTGCTAAAAATTTGACACATTTGTTGGATGTAGTTAAAAAGGATTTGAGTATCATAAAAACATGGTTGAATGTAAACAAATTATCAGTGAATGTTGATATTCAGCAATAGACTCCTAATGTGTTGATTGATGATGATGATGGGGTTGTGATTAAACTATCTGATTTGTAATGACCCAGACGAAGGCCGAGACACATTGGTCTACAAATGAAGTTGTAGCAGATTTTTTTAATCCTTCACTGGAATCGCTGCAGCGCTGCAAGACGCAACGAGAGATCTGATGAAAATTAAAAAGAGAAATCATACGTTGCTCGTTTTAGCTTCACTTGATGATCTGACCTTCCTCCTCCTTGCAGGGCGGAACCTGCTGGAGTCCAGAAGTTGAGAGAGAAACTGAGGAAGTGTAAGTCTTTAAAACAGCTCACACTCGACCATTACACATTCAGGAGTCATAATCTAATCAATATCTTCCACACTTACTGGGACCCCGACTAAGGCTGGACGACTAGTGCTCCACAAAATGCAGATTAGATTGTTGGCCCCTGCTGGCCAGGAGGAGTAAATACTGCAACCTGCTGGACTTTTTGAGCATCTTTCTGAATGGAGCTGAATTGTTGTTTTTTTTCCTTCAGATTCCTGCAGTCTCACCTTTGACTCAAACACGGTTCACAGAAACCTGAAGCTGTCTGATGACGGCAGGAAGGTGACCCGTGTGAGCAAGGCTCAGTCATACCCGGATCACCCAGACAGGTTTGACGGCCTCTTGCCTCAACTGCTGTGCCGTGATGGTCTGACTGGTCGCTGCTACTGGGAGGTGGAGTGGAGCGGAGTGGTTTACATTTCAGTGAGCTACAGAGGGATCAGCAGGAGAGGATACAAAGACTGTGTCTTTGGCTGGAATGACCAGTCCTGGAGTCTGAAATGCAGCGATCTTGATGATGGCTACTCTGTCTGGCACAATAACAAAGGAAAACTCGCCGCCTCCTCTCACATTGACCCCTTCACCTCCAAATCTGACTCCGCCTCTAACAAAGTAATGTATATGGACTTTCCACCAGGACCGTGGTTGACGTGGCATAGTCGCCCCTCTGACTCCGCCTCTTCTGAATCCGCCTCCTCTGACTCCGCCTCCTCTTGCTCATGCAGCAGAGTAGCAGTGTATGTCGACTGTCCAGCTGGCATCCTGTCCTTCTACAGAGTCTCCTCTGGCTCCCTGGTCCACCTCCACACTTTTGAAACCACATTCTCTGAACCCATCTATCCTGGGTTTGGGTTCTGGTTTCCTGGATCCTCAGTGTCTTTCTGTCAAGTTGAGTACACCATTTCATTTCCTCCTGTTGGAAAACACATTATAGTGACAAAACACGTTTACATCATTTCTTATGTTGCACTTTTAAACTGTTTATTTTTACATGTCAATATTCAATTGCTAAACTCTACAATTTGATTGTCTCAGGATTTAAAGCCCAAACTTTTGGATGTGCAGAGAGAATCTCCATGCACATCGTCCCAACCTGATTGGTTTGACGATGACTCAAAGTTGGTCGAGGTGAGTTCTGCCATTTAAAAGCATCTGGAAAAAAACAAACAACTATCAGTCTGAGATGGGAATAACTCCACGTTTTAATGAATTCAAATCGATTTCAGTGGCACCAATGGATTGGAAATTTCAAAGTACTAAAGGGGCGTTAAAATGATTTAAAGGTTTATAAACCATTGTGCTCACACTGCTTCTTCAGTTCAAAGATGTGAAAGAGAGGATAAACATCTAATGGTAAATGTCCTGCACTTATATGTTGCTTTATCCAGTCCAGAGGACTCCAAAGCTTCTCACTTAATTCAGTTGGTCACAGTGAAGAGCTTCCCTCTGACCACCACCAGTCAAACACACACAGAAACACACACAGGAGAAACATTTGGCTCACATTTTGTGTTTCATAACTTTGTATTTCAAAAGAAAATTGTTGATGTCGTTTGTAAATTTCAGGCGCCTTCAAGCTTCAGACCCGAAGTGGAAACTCACAATTTGCAGGTTTCATACAGGTAATTATTTTCACTGAAAATAATTCAGAATATATTTGATATTAACATATAATTCAGTGTTTGTAGGTGATTATTGGGTCAAGCCCAGCTGGTTCACTGTTGTGTTCATGGAGTCACTTTGTGCGTCACAGGTTCCAGTGTCCAGGTCCGGGTGTGTTCCAGTGCGCTTTGACCGCCCTGGTGTTTGTTGTGACCCAGCCGGCCAAACTATGTTACAGAATCATCCAATGGGACGAGAGCATCCTTCATCCAGCTGGGAAGACCCCTGCTGGGCCCCTGTACAACATCAGCTGTTCTCCTGTAGCAGTGTGTGGGCTCCACCTCCCACACTGTCAAACTGCAGACAGTAAGTTACTGGAAAGTGAAAAGGAAAGCATAAAGAACTCGTCTGATTCAGAGTTCTATTGATTTGACATTGTAAGCGTGTGAAGCTGCTGCTGGAAGCAGAAATCAGTGTGTTGGTGTGTTTGTCCTCAGCGTTGGCCAGTGAAGGCCTGCTGTCAGTGGTTCACGTTTCCTCCGATTATGGACTGAACTTCCTGAAGCCGCTGAAGATCACCGACACCCACGTTGTCGTGAGGGTCTCTGAACTTTCAGCGTTCGGTCTGGTCTGGGACTTCATAAAGAGGTTCATGGAGAGAAAGGATCCGGTACCGAGCCAAGTCCTGCTGTACCTCGGACCTCTGAACTCAAGGGCTCAGAACCAGAAGCTCTACGTGTTTCTGCTGCCCAGGAACATCCCAACGTACGAGGTATTGATAACAATAACAATAAGCTATGTTAGCGATAATTCTTCAGATGATTACTCCTATGGTTTTTTTGTTTTCTGGAAACTTTTTCTTTCCAGGTCACCAAAGACCAGAAGGACTGTAAGTTTGTCCGCTCCACTTCCAACTGCAAACTCATCAAAGACCAGAGATACGTCCTCACATGTCCAAGAGCTTCACAGCATTATAAAATACAACCTCAGGTGAAACTTGGTAGCTTCACTCACCTATATAGACTTGTTCTTTCATTAAAAGCTTAATTTTATTTGTTGTATTTTTGTTAGGGACAAACTAAAGTATGTCAAATAAAAAATTCTAAGATCTTATAATGAAAATGTCGGCTTCATTCTAATCTGATGGAGGTGAAGCAACGCGTTCTGGTAGAAACACGACCAAACTTTCTGACTCTCTTCTGGTTTTAGAGAGCCGAGTTCGACCTAAACTTTGGAACTCAATACCACCCAACATTTGAGATCCGTCTTCCCATCAACACTGAGGAAGTGGTGATAACGATCAAAGATGAAGTAGACACGGTGGTCTGGGAGTACGACGCCGATCTGACAGGTAAAGTCTTCTGTATAAATCTATGTTATTTATCTTTATAATTTTAATTAATTTGGATATCTGGTTATTTAGTTTTTACCACTAGATGGCAGCATGCAGTTCGCTAACATCACTCCAGGGCGTTTAACTAAATGTTACAGAAAATAAAAACTAGTTCACTTCAAAAATCCTTTATTAATCCCAAAGAAAAATCATTTTGGTTTAAATTTAGAGTCGTGGTCGGCAAACACACGCTGAACTCTCAGCAAAAGAAATAAGAGCTATCTGTATTTCATGATCTCTATGACTTTGAGTTTAGACTAATATTTCTGTCCTGCTTTTTCTGTCTAGATCATTCACAAGATGACGTCCCATCAAGTGTCACAGTAAAGTCAGAGGTCAGGTTCTTCTTGTTCTTTTCGGGTCATAATTATTTCAGATTTACGAACAAGAAGAGAAGGATAAAACCAAGATTTCATAAGTAAACAACAGGGCAATTTTTCAGAGGCTAAAGGTGAAAGCGGACCAAAACAAACCAGGGAGAATCTGAAGACAGATGTTGTTATTGATGCAAAATATGTAAATATAGGATTTTAGTAATCATCCTTTCATTTAAGTCAGTGCTTCTCAAATAGTGGGGCGGGCCCCCTTTGGGGGGCGCGGTGCGATACCTGGGGGGGCGCGTGTGATCCTGGGGAACAGGCTTTTTTTTTGGCCGTACTAGTATAAAGTGTAATTGCGCACAGTAGGCGGCAGTGGCGCTCTCATTGTTACTTCTGTCACGTTTGCGACAGTGCAACATTTTACGACTTACAAGACAACAGGTTTGCCTTGGTTAGCAGTGTTACGTCAACAAAAAGCTCCGACTGCGTTCTGTCTATGGCCTCCGTTATTCAACAACCCCCAACATGAAAAAGTTTTTAACAGGGATGAAAAGAAAAGCGGAGAGAGACAAAGATAATGAGACAACAGAAAGTCAACCGAAAGCTAAGAAGAGGAAATACGACGAATCTTATTTAGCGCTTGGCTTCACTGTGACTACAGTTGGAGAAGAGGAAAGACCGGTGTGTTTGCTGTGTCTAAAAATGCTCGCAGCGGACAGCATGAAGCCAAATAAATTAGCGCGTCACTTAAATACGTTACATCCCAATCACGCCGATAAGCCGCCAGAGTTTTTTCAGCGAAAACGTGCTGAATATTGCCAACAGTCATCCCGCTTTGTGAAGGCTACTTCAGTAAACCATCGAGCGCTGCTAGCATCATATAAGGTGGCGTACCAAATTGCGCAGTGCAAAAAGCCCCACCATAGCAGAGGAGCTGATATTGCCTGCAACAGTAGACATGGATTTATTTATTTTTAATTTCAGGCATTGATGCACTTAAAATCTTTTCTGTTGCAGACTTAAAACACGATTTAATAAAGTTATTCTTTGTAAGTTTGACCATATGTCTTTCTTTTTTTCTTTAATGTTAATGAAAAAATGTTATGCAGAGATGGATAGTCACGGTGGGGAGTGGGGGGCGCGAATAGTTTTCTTCTTGCTAGGGGGGGCGTAACGGAAAATAATTGAGAAGCACTGATTTAAGTGGTCCAAATAACAGACGTAGGACAAATCATCCAACAGACCTCTCTGTTACTGTTGGTGGAAATTCCCTGTTTTAATCCCAAACAGAGTCCAAACCTCCATGTTGACCTGCTGAACATCCTGGATGAGCTGACTGAGGAAGAGTTCAGCAGGTTTAAGTGGTTCCTGAGGAATGAACCGCAGAGCAGTCGCTTCAGAGTGAGAGATTCTGCAGCGAGACAGGAAGTGGTGGACCAGCTGCTGCATCAATGCAGCCAGGAAGAAGTTCTTCAAGCTGTGAAGAGGACATTCAGGAAAATGGGCAGGAACGATCTGATGGAGCAACTATAAAAACTCGAGTTACTTTTTTACCGTACAGTCATGCTCATGTTATGTTTGTTTCAGCCATTTTGATGGCTGAAAGAGGTGTTTACATTTTAAATTAAATTTTGAGATTAATCTTAGAAGTTTTCTAGAAAAAACTAGAAAATATTCAACACTTGAAAGAAAGAAATCTCCATGTTTTTTTGCTGGAAATTTTCTGAGGTTAATCTCAAGATTTCTGCAAATTTTTGACTTTTGGAACTCTGGGATTTCCAGATTTTATCTTGAACCAATGGCAAAGATTCATCTTCTAGCCTAGGAAATGATTTCACACAAATTTAATTTTATATCAATAAATGATTTATTTTGGTGTACTTTGTCATGAAGTAGAAAATCTTTTTTTTGAGTTCTCAGAATCAGTTTTGATTGCACTTTCAGCTAATTCTTAAACACCAGCAGCACCTTTTGTTTCCCAGTTAAAGTTGAAAACAGCTGCCCCCTTGTGGTCATAAGATGAAGTAAATACAGTGTAAAGTAAAAAGAAAAAACAACTGTCACTATAATCACAATCACATATAAAACCATGCATATTTTAAGATTTATATTTTAATTACTTGAAAATCAGATCCAAAATAGGTATGTTTGTTTAGTTTTTACCACTAGATTGAGTGTCTTCTACTCAAACTCAAAGAAGAATAAGGAATACAGAAAGACGAGAGGTCTCACTCTCCTCTTTTTTGTGGACTCTTAAAGACATTAAATGTTCGTGAACTTTTCATAACGAGCTGCAAGTACGTGTGTCGACGCAAGTAAAACATGAAATAAAATAATAGTCTCCACCACATTTATTGCATTCACCGACGGATCTGCATTTATCCGTCGGAAAATGCAGATCACTCGCATTTACCGAGTGATCTGTCTTCACGTGAGCGAGACGATCTCTGCTCCTCCGCGTTCGTGTCGCTCGAAGATGTTTCTGAGTCAGGTTCTCCACAGTCGGGGGTTTCTGGATTTAGAAACGTTTCTGGACGGGGAGGACAGCTGTTATCCGCAGCTGCTGCCAGGTGAAACTCGTCACTTCCTTTCTCATTCACTGCCAGACAAACCTGGAGCTAATTACCTATTGAGAAGGGGGGAAATCACTTTTACGCTAAAATATCTCGTGCGTTGTGCCGCAGTCACACTTTACGTCACGCTGTGACAAAAGTGAGTCGGGTCGTGAACAGGTCGCAATAACCTTCGACACTTCGTTCATAGTTAGCTGTGACGTCGCTAGATATTGGCGCCTTAAAACTTGTATCTTTAACAACGTAAATACAAAATTCTGTATTTTATTCAACGGTTTAACACAGTGAGGTGGAAAGAAAATATGCTGAATTGTTCTGCTTCGAAATGAAACTTCTTGATGCTTAAGCAAAAGTTGTAGTGCCCCGTTTTAAAATGCAACTTAAAAACAAAATCTCATCAATTCCCAAGAAGCAGAAAATTGAACTTTTATCCATAACATAATAGGAGGCCACTTCCTCCTTTTCAGTTTCTCCTTTGTATCCTCCATCTCAGTATTGCCGCAATCTGTACTTTCTGTTGCCATGACAACAGGTATGGAGTACCAGTCCTGCAATAAGGAATTATTCCCACTTGTGATGAAATCTACCTTGACAGAGTGAGTAACCAAACCTCTTTATTTCTTTTTTTTCAGCACAGGTTCACTTTCAGTTTCCATCTTCTGTCGAAGCAGAACGATTTCATCAGCTGAGCCTCGATCTGAGGGGTAATGTACATAGTTTGTGATGCTTTTCTGCTGTTTTAACCAGTTTTCAGTCATAGACGTTTAGCTACGACACAGAGAGGACGAGGTTTATGGGTCATTTAAGCTATTTTAGCTGTTAGCTTAGTCAGACAACTCATGCTCCTCACACTTGAGTGGAAACAGCTTAAAGGTGTATTTCTGTAAAAATCACCCTAACCCTGTATCACAGCAGGAATTAACAAGTGATGTCTACCAACGTACTTTTCTGGCATATTTTGACATCACTGTCCTAAAGGCTATTTTTCTTGTATTTGAGTAATTCACACAATGGCCACCAAGTCATCAGTCTGATGCTTTAACCACTTCATGGAAATGTTGTTGCATCATTATGCGTCTGCAGCCTCGTGTCTACGCTGTTGTTTTTTCCTCAGATGAAGGCAGAAGGTGTGTGAACTAGTGTGAACTGAGCAGCATGGATCAGTGTGAGAACAGAGCTCCTCCCTCTAGAACCAATCTGAGTGGAGAACATGAAAACCAAAGGTGAGATCACTGTCTCTACCTGTTCAGGACTTTCCTCCGTCTCAAAGCGGCCACATCACTCAACCATCTTCGTGTACAGGAAAGTACAAGAAACGCTGTCTGAATCAGAAGCTGAACCCAGCTGTGTGTCCCTCCAAAGTGATGCTTCCAAGGACCTGGGAATCACTTTCAGATCTGATCCCTCATCAGCTGGAAAGAGGTAACCTGCATCCAAATGCTCTAATAACGTTGAACGTGAACGAGACAGCGTACGATATTTTTGTTTCAACTTAAACCTCGGATGTGAGATCACCATCTCTACCTGTCCAGGACTTTTCTCCACCTTAAAGCAGTCAGATCACTCCACCATCTTCATGTACAGGAAACTACTGGAAGAAGCAGATCCTGGTCCTGTGGCTAAATCCAGCTGTGTGTCCCTCCAAAGTGATGCTTCCAAGGACCTTGAAATCACTTTCAGATCATCTGCAAAGAGGTAACCTGCATCTGAATGCATCGCTAGTTTGCCTTCAAGCAATTACAGTTTCAATGGAGCCATGATGGTGTGTAGGGCAGGGATTCCTGTCAATATAGCAACCAGTGGGAGCTGTGAGGGTTATAATCACCGGAAGTCGTGTCATATTAGTGGGACATTCTTTAGGAAAAACTACTGATAAATGAATCTGGAGCAAAGTCTTGCAGATTCTGTTGAGGGGTTTTACCAGGGGTCTTAAAGAGTTAGCAGAGACTGTTGATAAATCTGGAACTTCTGCATCTCCTCCACCAAATTACTGCACAGTCGATGGCACATGGTGTGTATCGCTGTAATCACACCAGTCCTGCTCAGTCTGCTTAATCAAACCGTCATTTGTTTCTCTAGGAAGTTTGGTTCATTTTCTATCTAAAGTGGACCACAAAAAGCAAACTCTCGTCTTCTCAGACCTCGGGTTTGTTTGAAGTGAACTTTGGTGTGGTTTGAATGCATGTGAAGTGGAGTACAACCAAAACAAACACGCTAACTTACGGCTTTTGGCCAAAAATAAGTGAAATCTTACAACTGCTAAAATCTGATGCTACTTTGTTTCCATTTGGTGAAGGACGCTCAGTGTCTTCTTTTGAGGTTGTCATATCTTTTCCATGGCCCTTAAAGAACCCAATATTTTTTCTAACCCACTATGCAGCCCAAACATACTGGACAATTAAAAGCGCCATCACAAAACACAAAAAGATTCATTGTTCGTTCAACACAAATTCCCTTTTTTTAACAGTCTGTGGTAGATGAAGTGTCACTGAACTGTTACTGCCCTCCACAGTGTGGAACAGCAGAGCTCAGAGGTTCCCAGTGATCCGTCTGCCCAGGAGCATGAGACACAGTTGGACTTGATATTTATGGTCAGTACATGAACAACTACTACTTTTCCATTGGTTTTGTCCACAGTCTTCTACATCCACCACTTTGTAGACCAGATGACTGTCGATCTGTCCAACCTGGACATGACGTTTGACTCCATGATTTCCAATTAGCATTTTCTCAACCTACATAAAAGGAACCAGACACATCGTTTATTGTTCTTCAGCCAAGGCTTTCGCGAAAGAAGCCACAGTGAGCAGCTTCTACAAGCTGCTCACCTGTGTGTTTTGACAACCTTCTCTTGGAGCTTGTCTTTTATTAGGGAAAGAAGGGAGTGGATAACAAAAAAACAAGTTATTGTCTTTGCACTTAGTTGCACACAGTTCTTCTCATTGGAGATGGAACACTGTGAGTCGAGACAATTTTGTACCAGAGATGTTTCGTAAGGGTGAGTCACAAATCCCAACATAGTATCAGTTTACACACACACAGACACACACACACACACACACACAGCAGAAGGCTAAGACTGTTAAATGCAAAACAACTAATGATCCACGCATATGTAAAAGTGATAATGACTCTTGATCATTCCAACGATTTCAGTCTGATAGATCCCTATTATTTTGTTCCAGCTGCTGGAGAACAACATTGTCACTTTTGTGAAGAATGAGCTGAAGAAGATGCACAAGGTCCTGAGTCACCATAAACCGCCATCGTTGCAGACAGAAAATGAGGATGTAATGGAAGATCCATTCGAAAAGGAGTTGAGAAACAGCAAAGAGGCATTTGAGAAGATCACACTGAACTTCCTGAGAAGGATGAAGCAGGAGGAGCTGGCTGACCGTCTCCAGAGCAGTAAGAGGATTGCTTTGCAAATTTCACCTGACCAGTAAACTTTGTGAACTCTGATGTCTCAATGACAGAAAATTTGTTATTAGAAATCTTTAGGACAGTTGAACTTATAGGATGGGCTGTGTGTTGTGTACTTTAGGAACACCTGCAGGAGCTGGTTCTAAACTTAAGTCTCGCCTGAAGAAGAAGTTCCAGTGTGTGTTTGAGGGGATTGCTAAAGCAGGAAGTCCAACCCTTCTGAACCAGATCTACACAGAGCTCTACATCACAGAGGGAGGGACTGGAGAGGTCAATGATGAACATGAGGTCAGACAGATTGAAACAGCATCCAGGACACAACACAGACCAGAAACAACAATCAGACAAGAAGACATCTTTAAAGTCCCACCTGGAAGAGATGAACCAGTCAGAACAGTGATGACCAAGGGAGTGGCTGGCATCGGGAAAACAGTCTTAACACAGAAGTTCACTCTGGACTGGGCTGAAGGCAAAGCCCACCAGAACATCCAGTTCATATTTCCATTCACCTTCAGAGAGCTGAACGTGCTGAGAGAGAAAAAGTTCAGCTTGGTGGAACTGATTCATCATTTCTTTACTGAAACCAAAGAAATCTGCAGCTTTGAACACTTCCAGGTTCTGTTCATCTTTGATGGCTTGGATGAGAGTAGACTTCCACTGGACTTCCACAACGAAGACATCCTGACCGATGCTACAGAGTCCAGCTCAGTGGATGTTCTGCTGACAAACCTCATCAGGGGGAATCTGCTTCCCTCTGCTCTCCTCTGGATAACCACACGACCTGCAGCAGCCAATCAGATCCCTGCTCAGTGTGTTGACATGGTGACTGAGATTAGAGGGTTCACTGACCCACAGAAGGAGGAGTACTTCAGGAAGAGATTCAGTGATGAGGAGCAGGCCAACAGGATTTTCTCCCACATGAAGACATCACGAAGCCTCCACATCATGTGCCACATCCCAGTCTTCTGCTGGATCACTGCTACGGTTCTGGAGGATGTGATGGAGACCAGAGAGAGAGGAGAGCTGCCCAGCACCCTGACTGAGATGTACATCCACTTCCTGGTGGTTCAGACCAAAGTGAAGAAGGTCAAGTATGATGGAGGAGCTGGATCAGATCCGCACTGGAGTCCAGAGAGCAAGAAGATGATTGAGTCTCTGGGAAAACTGGCTTTTGATCAGCTGCAGAAAGGAAACCTGATCTTCTATGAATCAGACCTGAGAGAGTGTGGCATCGATATCAGAGCAGCCTCAGTGTACTCAGGAGTGTTCACACAGATCTTTAGAGAGGAGAGAGGTCTGTACCAGGACAAGATGTTCTGCTTCATCCATCTGAGTGTTCAGGAGTTTCTGGCTGCTCTTCATGTCCATCTGACCTTCATCAACTCTGGAGTCAACATGATGCAAATAGATCAACCAACCTCAGAAACAAAGGAACAAAAATCATTCCATGAGAATGCAGTTGACAAAGCCTTAGGTAGTACAAATGGACACCTGGATTTGTTCCTTCGCTTCTTTTTGGGTCTTTCACTGCAAAGTAACCAGAGTCTCCTGCTTGACCTGTTTACTCAGACAAAAAGCAGCGCAGAAACCAGACGTAAAACAGTTCAGTATGTTAAGGAGAAGATCAATGAGAATGTGTCTGCAGAGAAAAGCATCAATCTGTTTCACTGTCTGAATGAATTGAACGATCGTTCTCTTGTGGAGGAGATCCAACAGTCTCTGAGTTCAGGAAGTCTATCCACGGATGAACTGTCTCCAGCTCAGTGGTCAGCTCTGGCTTTCATCCTTCTATCGTCAGGACAAGATCTGGATGAGTTCGACTTGAAGAAGTACTCTGCATCCGAAGAGGCTTTCCTAAGGCTGCTGCCAGTCATCAAAATCTCAAGCAAAGCTTTGTAAATCATCAAACTTCCCTTCAAACACATTTGTTGTTTTTTACATTAAAAAGAAACATTTACCAGCCTGGTTTTTGTCACTGCAGACTGAGTGTCTGCAACCTCTCGGTAAGAAGCTGTGAAGCGTTGTCTACAGTCCTCCGCACTGCGTTCTCCTGCCTGAGAGAGTTGGACCTGAGCAACAACAACCTGCAGGATGCAGGAGTAAAACTTGTAGCTGCTGGACTGAAGACTCCGACCTGCAAACTCCAAATTTTGAGGTACATTTTCAAATTTCAAAATTTCAAATGTGGTGTTGTAATTTGATGCCTTGAAATTGGGGCTCAAAGGAGTCTCTCTTTAAGACAGTCCTGCTCTTTCTGAACCACATTGTTCCTCTATTCACCCTTTAGCAACATTTTTACCAGCGTTGCACTGAGAAGTAGCTCCTACCACGAGATCGGCTGATGCAGATTTCCAACAGGTGTTTGCTAATTGCTTCTGGCTAGTCTGAAGGGATAATTTCACTTTAGTTTTCCTATGAGCTACATAGAGAGCGAAACACAAATATATGGAATGTATACAAGCTTGAGTCCCACCTGGAAGCCAAATTATTTCTAATATTTCTATTGACTGGAAATTTATGAGGGTCACTCATTACAGGTAGAATACAAAGAGAAATACTTAATCATGGTTATCATATGGTATACTCTGAAGGTTATCTGGCTGCCTGGTCACAGAGGAAGGCTGTTTGGCTCTGGGTGAAGCTCTGACCTTTAACCCCTCCCACTTGAGAGAGCTGGACCTGAGCTACAATCATCCAGGAAACACGGGAGTTGAGGTTCTCTCTGCTCACCTAGAGGATCCTGGTTGCACGCTAGAAAATCTCAGGTACAGAAAGTGTTTTTTATTTTATTTTATTTTATTTCTTTATCTGTCGAAAACTGTTTGCAGCAAAATAAGTACCAACAACCGCATCCAAGTCCTTGGAATCTTGGTTTTGTTCTTTTTTTTTAAAGTCATATCGTGATCTACGTTTAAGTATGGAACCATATTTCTTCTCCAGTAGCGTTTGAAAGATTTCCTAAAAGAAAGGCTGGATGAAGGTAGAGAAGAAGCAAAGTACAAAGAGGGAACATCTGGTAGTTTGTGTATCCCAGAGTGTCCAAGTGTTTTATTACCTGTTAGTTTGAACTGTTTTTACCTGCTACGTTCAGCTGAATTTATTCAGTTTTGACTGAAAGCAAATTTTCAGGCAATTTGTTTTTTTGTAGAATCTCAAGCCTTGATTGGCCTTTCTTCTTTTCTTTTTTTTAATCATAGTTTTATAATAAAACAACTAAAAATTTGATGTCTTAGACCCTACTTCTATTTATTCAGGGTGGAGCCCGCTGGAGTCCAGTGGTTGACCCCGGGTCTGAGGAAGTGTAAGTCCTTTTTTTTTCCTATCTAATTCACGATTACAAACCTGCCCAGATTTAGAAATCAGGAAAAAAAAAAAACACAAAAAAATGAATGAGTGAAAAATCCTGAACAGCGTCTGGATTGTTTGCCGTCTCCATCAGACTCCTGTCAGCTCTCCATCGACACAAACACAGTGAGCAGAAAGATGAGAATCTCTGGTGATGGACGGAAAGTGACGCATGTGGCGGAAGACGAGCTGTACCCCGACCACCCAGACAGATTTGACGTTCCGCCTCAGTTTTTGTGTCGCGGTGGCCTGTCTGGTCGTGGCTACTGGGAGGTGGAGTGGGGAGGCCAGGCTCTTGTAGCGGTCAGCTACAAAAAGATTCAAAGGAAAGGAAAGACTCACGACTGTCTGTTTGCCTGGAATGACCATTCCTGGAGTCTGAGGTGTTCTGAGAATGGTGTATTTTCTGTCCTTCACAATAAAGCTGAAACAACAGTTTCAGCATCATCGTCCTCTGTCTCTAACAGAATAGCTGTGTATGTGGACTGTCCTGCTGGTACTCTGTCCTTCTACAAAGTCTCCCATAGCTCCCTGGTCCACCTCCACACCTTCAGCACCGCATTCACTGAACCTCTCTATCCTGGTTTTGGCTTTGGGTTGTTGTACACTTCAGGTTCCTGGATTTCCCTTTGTCCGACAGAATAGACTGCTGACCAGCAGGCTCAACTAACGTACTCATTCAGTGGTTGCCTAGCAATAACCTGTTGAATAACTTGCGCAACAGCAGTTTCATGTTTCACCACCGGTCCTCATAACGGCTTTAAACTGGAGAGAAAGCTGTGGATAAAACTGGAAATATCAGGCCACCAGTTTTGCAGAATTTCAAACAAAAAAACGTATCAATAGTCTTTGTCGACGGATATAAAGTGTTCACATTGTGATGTTTTTTTAGCCAACTCATTCAGAGCTACTGCAGTTGGTAGCACTGCTGGTTCTCTGCATTCAAATCCCCAAAGGGAAGCAAAAAACACAGATTTTTCTTTTTGAATCAATATTTTGGTTCCTTGTCTACAACAAAATATGAAGTTTTTTTGATATCTTGCTGTTACATGTTCTTGATTTTTTTTCTTTACACCCTGTTGTTGAAGTTTTTGGCCTATTCTGGATGACAGAAAATTCCCATGATATTTTCTGTTTTCAGACCATTTGTTCTGGTATAAACCAATAGATAAACCAGCTAACTTGAACTAGGACAGTTATGATAAACCATAGAAGTCAGTTTGTGAAAACTGATTTGAATTAATTTCTCATCTTTTCTTGCTAGCAAAAACAAGAACACAAAATAACAATCTGATGTGTCATGCTTAAATCCAAAATTCAACTGAATTAAAAAAATATTTTAATAGTACTGTTTCCTCTGTCTTGGTCAAAAAAATCTATAAATTGAAGTATATTTTAAATATACTGTACTTTTCTGAAAAAAACATTTTTGTTTGTTATCAAATGGTTATATTTATTAAAATTGTATTAAAAATACAAAATCAATTTTAAAAAAATACTTGTAATACTCTTGAAAAATCTATTTTGGTGCACTTTTCAAAAGTATATTTTAAATTCAATTTAAATTTATTACTAAATTCGTGCTTTGGATAAACCTTCTGTAAAAATATTTAAAATGTACTAAACTATTTATTTTTCGTTGACACTTTAAATAATGTTGCATATAACATAAATCTAGATCATTTATTTTAATGTTTTTCAGTCATGTAGATGTAGATAAGAATAGTGACGTGTATTTGGTTTTTACCACTAGATGGCAGCATGCAGTAAGAACCCGCCTGTTTCTTTTCCTAAAAGAAGAGTCAGAAGGAGTGCAGAAGAACCAGAGGTCTCACTCTGCTGCTTTTATGTGGACAAACGTGAGATTACGTGAAATGTTCGTTTACTTAATTAAATTTCATAGTGAACTGCAAATATGTGTGCTAGTTTAAGTAAAACAGTAATTAAAAAAAAATAAAATCTCTGCGGCATTCATTGCATAAAGCGAGCGAGTGATCAGTCTTCACAAGAGATAGACGATCTCTGCGCGTCTCCGTGTTTGTGTTCGTGTGGGTCGAAGATGTTTCTGAGGAAGATTCTCCAGTCGGGCGTTTTTGGACTTAGAAATGTCTCTGGACGGGGAGGACAGGTGTTGTCCGCAGCTGCTGTCAGGTGAACCCACGTCACTTCCTCTCTCACTCGCTACCAAAAACAAAGTGTCTGCTCTGGGGAGAAAAATCACAGTCTTTCACGCGAAATTATGACTTGTGTTTTACTGCAGTCACACTTTACGCCACTGTGACTGCAGTAAATTGTGAAATGTTCTATTTAATTCAGAGTTGGGCCGTAAATAGCGCCCAATAACCTTTGACACACTTCGCTCAGAGTTCGCTGTGACGTCAGTGGACGTCAACAGTGCCTTAAAACTTTATTTCTAACAATACAAATGCAAAATTCATTTGGTGGAAGAGAAAATTTTGAGATTTTTTTTTCTGCTTTAAAGTGAAACTTTTTGACCTTTAAGCAAAAGCACAGGTAGTGGCGGCATCATGCTGTGGGGAAACTTTCTCTTTCGGTGCGCTCTGGTCTGTGTGTCTGAACAGGAAGCAGCACTCTCAGGCCGAGCAGCAGGGGTCAGCTGTGTCCTCCGTCCGACCGGAGACGTCCACCGCCAAAACCCTGATGGACATCGGCACCCGGCGCATCTTCAGCGAGGACCACGACATCTTCCGGCAAAGCGTCCGCCGCTTCTTCCAAGAGGAAGTGGTGCCGCACCACAAGGAGTAGGTGGCTGCAGGAGCCAAGCGTCAGGAGAGGTTTTCCTCCCTTTGACTCCCTGTTTGCGCTCCCAGGTGGGAAAAGGCAGGCGAGGTGAGCAGGGAGCTGTGGTTGAAGGCCGGAGAGCAAGGCCTGCTGGGAGTGATGATCCCGGAGGAGCACGGCGGCATCGGAGGGGACACGTTTTCTGCCGCTATCACCTGGGAGGAGCAGTGAGTCCACACTTCCTGCTCTGAGTGTATTGCAATTGGAGTTTTGAAAATGCTGCCATTTTTCTGACCATCTTTCTTCAGAATGTACTGTAACTGTACCGGGCCTGGTTTCGCTCTGCACTCGGACATCGTCATGCCGTACATTGTGAACTACGGCAGCAAGGAACAGATCGAGCACTTCATTCCCTCCATGACTGCTGGCAAACACATCGGCGCCATCGCCATGACGGAGCCGGGTGCAGGCAGGTGAGGACGCAGTCCCACTTCCTTTTTTATGTCACAGATTGACCAGTGAGACAAGGCGTTAACCCGTTGGTTTCCCGCGGCAGCGACCTCCAGGGAGTACGGACGTACGCCAAGAAGGACGGCAGTGACTGGATCCTCAACGGGAACAAGGTAAAGCTGATGGTGTTCCTCTGGACGCCGCCATCGGCTTCATTCGCGTTCTTCCTCTCAGGTGTTTATCACCAACGGCTGGATGGCAGACGTGGTGGTCGTCGTCACAGTTACCAACCGTGAGGCAAAAACGGCGGCCCACGGCATCAGTCTGTTCCTGGTGGAGAACGGCATGAAGGGTTTCCAGAAGGGCCGGAAGCTGGAGAAGATCGGCCTGAAGGCGCAGGTAGCGCAACTTGTACTTCATGTTTGAGAACATCTCAACGTCAGGATGCTGAATTGGTCTGAATCTATTTAAAAGGACACAGCAGAACTGTTCTTTGAGGACGTTCGTCTCCCAGCCAGTGCTCTGCTGGGAGAACTCAACAAGGGTTTCTACTACCTGATGAATGAACTGCCACAGGTCTGAACATAGACACACACACACACACACGTCCTCCTGAACCCTGACCCTCAGTGATAGCTTTTGCTGCCAGGAGCGTCTGTTGATTGCTGACATGGCCATATCCAGCTGTGAGTTTATGTTCGAGGAGACCAGGAACTACGTTCTGCAGAGGAAGGCCTTTGGGAAGACTGTTACTCACCTCCAGGTCTGTTTAATTCCCCTCACACACTTGAGCAGGGGGCGGGGCTTAGCAACCAAAGAGAATACCAATATTTTGGGGGCTTGTCCGGGATTTTTTTCTGCTTTTGCAAGGCAAATTTTGAGCAGGACCAGACTGCTCAACTATAAGAGTTTGTGTTGGCCCTCCAGTTAAACCCTCAACCAGTCTTTTGTGGACATGTAAGATAATTATTGGCTGCCCCGGTGAAGATTCCTAAAATTCTTTGAATAGTCTTTATTGCATAATTCTAATATATTCAGACACAAAGCCATACTGCCTAGCAAAATTCCCTGGAACCTTGAAGAAAAAGTAGGCCCACAGCATCACAGATCTTCCACCATACTTAACAGTGAGAATGAGGTGATTCATCTAAAGCACATAGCTCCACTTCAAGTGGATTAAACTGTATCCTTACAGAAGAGGCCTTCAGTTTGGCTTGCCATGCAAATGTTATCCACCTTCTTCCAAAGATGCTTTATTTGCTTCAAATTCTTTAGTTCTTACTAAAAACTAGTCCTCTGACATGTTCAGACCGTGCAGCACAAGCTGGCAGAGCTGAAGTCAGAGATCTGCGTAGGTCGTGTTTTCATGGACAACTGCCTGCAGCTCCTATCAGAGCGTCGCCTGGACCCCACCACCGCCTCCATGGCCAAGTTCTGGTGAGAAACTTGTGCTAGCAGATGGTTCGCTGCTGGCTAGCAGCCACTGACCGCCAGCCTGTCACCTGTAGGGCGTCGGAGCTCCAGAACAAGGTGGCCACCCATTGCCTGCAGCTCCACGGAGGCTGGGGCTACATGTGGGAGTACCCCATCGCAAAGTAGGTGGAGTAGCTTGGGAGTGGTGGGGGCCTGAGTGATATCTGCTTCAGCCTGACTCTGTGTGCGTTTCAGGGCGTTTGTGGACTCCAGGGTTCAACCCATCTATGGAGGAACCAATGAGATCATGAAGGAGCTGATCGCACGTGGCATCATGAACCAGAAGTGAGACTGAAGGAACGTTTGATGCTCCCTCTGCACCAAGAAAATTAGGGATATAGTTGAAAAAATGGTACTGTAGTTGGACTATATCACATCTGACTGACGTAAATAATTTTGAATAAAAGTCTGATTATTTTAGGTAAATATGCTAAAAGGTGAGACTTCTGTTAACTGATCTGTTATTTGCCTTGTGTCTCAGGTTTGTGCCAATCTGAAATAAAAATGTCTGCATCTCGATTATATGTTCCAACTTGTTAGCAGGTTTGTTTTTTGCAAATTAAAAAACTTGGGTTGAAATTGCTTTTTGAAGTTGTAGTTTCTGCTCTCCGCCAGTTGGTGGCGGCAGTCCAGCGCGCTGACTGTCAGCAGAGAGAGAAATGGCTTTTCATTTGATTCCATCGTGCACGGATAAAGAAAACTGTTGCCTCTCCGGTGAATAATAATAAAAATAACTTTATGCCTCATAAATCACTAAATCAACTCAGTTTAAAATTCTCCTGGAGTGGAGTATTTTTTGTATACCTGCACGGTTTTTATGTTGAATTAAAAAAAAAATAATGTTTTTTCTTTGTGTGAATGTATTCACTGTTATTGCCTGACACTTTGCTAATGGTGCACAGAGATTTCACCATTGTGGGACAAAAATAAAGGATATTTTTGTGATTCAAAACACATGTTTTGTCATTTCTTTGTTGCAGGTTTTCTGAATTTGCATTTTGACTCATCCTGCTGCTGAATGTGCGGCAGGAGCTGCAGACTGAGAACATCCCCGCCACGCCTCACCTGCAGGACACTGTAGCTCCTCTGTTCTCCTCCCCTCCCCTTCTCCCTCCATCCCTTCCTCCTTCCTCTTCTCTCCATCTCTCCTCAGCAACAGCCACGCCCAGCGTCCGGCTCTGCAGAGCGGGGGCTCCTTTCTGAAGTCGGAAGCGGCCACGTTTCAGAGCCCAGTCTCCATGCATTGGTGCATGCATCTGATGCACGTCTGCCAAGTGATGCTGCAGCGACTTTGAATCGGGATTCCCTCTCCCTGCGCGCCTATTGGAGGCTTTACGGTAGCGGAATTTGCAGGAGGGCTGGCCCCGCGGGCTCATTGTGACTGCAGCTCCACACGCACACGCACGGATTTTAGCGTCAGAGCCGCTCAGCAGCTTAACACTGCAGGTAAGGCATGAACCGCGTTGTTTCTGGTTTGTTTCTGATGTCGGGAGTTTGGCGCCTGGCGGTCCGGGCGACGGGAAAGTTTGTGCGTGGAGGGAGGGAAGGGACGCCAGCCGCGTTTGCATCCATGTGCATATATCATCAGCTGCGATTTGTTGCCTCGCGACTGCCAGACCTGTTGTCTGAGCCGCAAACGCTTCGAGCCGGTTGTGACTCTGCGCCGCCGCCTCTTTGGTTCCGGTCCACTGTAAAGTGCTGGAAGCCGGTGTTGGGTCTCCCGGCGACACGCGACGTCCGCTGCAGCAAATCAGTCCCGCTTTCTGCTAGGAGGAGAAGGACGATTTATCAGGGATGGACGGAAATGTGTCCATCTTTGATCTTGAGGAGGATTTGTGGGCTTTGACGTTTTTTGCTGCAGAATGAAGGCTTTTCATATCACCATGGTGATGCAGTATGGTGGTGGTGGTATCATGCTGTGTTTTCAGCTGGTTCTACATTGAGTTTGGTGCTGAATGCACTTCTTTTTTTTTTATTTTATTTTTTTTTACTTTTATACATATTAAAAAGTTTGAAAACCATTTAGGATTTTTAGAAATATGTATTTTTTGGAATGCAGTTGGAGTTCCACCAAGACACGCAGCGAAGCTAGCATTAGCATTACACCACTGCTAGCTGCTGCAGAAGATTTGTAAAAAATAAAATAAAAAATACGTTAAAAATAGTTTTGAGACTTGCTGGACGACAGGAAAAAGAAAAAAAAATCTCTGCTTCTCATCTCTGTTTGCGTACTGGCTAGAGCTCAACTAGCACAGCTGGCTGTGGGAGGAAGTTAGAAAAATTGCTGTTTAATTTACTGTGAAGACTTCAATTTTGTGGCACATTTTCTGAGATTACACATAAAACAATAACACTGGTAAAACTGAATCTGTTTCTTTTGTTCTTGTGAAGCTAATTTTAACAGGCTAGCACAGCTAGCTGCTCCAGAAAATTGAAGAGGTGGTTGTTGAAACTCCCAAAGAAGAAATACGAATATTTTATTTGTGGTCATGTCTCCAGAATATAACAAAATTGAGTGGCACCCTTAGTGATAAATAATAAAAGTCTTAATCAGTTGCAGATATTAGATCTGCAACTGATTGATAGTGTTGCTCTCTAAGAGGGGAATTGGGAATGAACTCTGTACTCTTGACGACTTTTCCCATTTGGTTTCTCAACCAAATGGAAGCTGACTAAGGTCATCAGCTCAGCAGGCTAGCTGTGTATCAAGTTATAGCCACGGCCCTCCTCCCATCGCGCCAGATTGGGCTGAGTCTAATCGCTAGCGGGAGTAATTGAAATGACCCTAATCAGCCCCAGCAGGTTGAGTCCACCTCCTTCCTCCAGGGGTTTCTGTGAGCGAATCTGAGGTTCTGAGGTTGCTGGTGTCTGGGTTTTGGTGCTGAAGTGTTATGTCGCGTGTCTGTCTGCCGCTGCTCCGGCTTTCTGAGGCTCTTTGGGCCTCGGGTGCCTAATGGGAGGTGGCAGAACTGTGCTTCGGAAGGTGATTAAGTCCTGACTGAAAGAGCGGCGTAATCCAATGTTGGAGACGTCAGAGGAGCCAAAAGGCGCCCTGACCTGGATAACCCTTCACCTGCTTAACGGCGAGCTAATGTTCACGTTTTGCTCACTTTTATATTTTCTTTTGAGTCTCTACTGCTTCTAATAAAAAAAAATAATAAAAAAAAAGAACATCCATTGGAGTTTTAGGTTTTGGCAGTAACTTCATGTTTTTTGGTGTCTGGAAAAAGGAGCCATTTCTAAAACCTCCGGAGTGTAATGTTGCACATTGACTTGGTCATCTGGTTTTCTCGCTGTGTGTGCTTTACAACGGCTGCTGGAAAAGACAAGCATTTTGCTGTTGAATTACCATCCAGAAACCACTCACTGCATTCTTGTTGGTTGTGCAGCAGGCTCCACTTTTGCTCTTCAAAGGTGTTTGGATGTAGACTGAAATCTCACTACCAAAGAAAATTTTCCTGACATATTCAGGAATTCATAAAAGGTCAGGCTCCTTTTATGCTGGCTTCCAGCACGGCCCCTCTAATCAGTCATCCACACTCTGCCTGCACCATGGCTGACTGGCGGCCACTTTCCCCAAACCAGCCCTGACAGCCGGCGTCACATTTCATTCCTCATGGATGATGACGCCGTAGAAGAGAAAGGACTCTCTTTCTCAATATTCTCCCAGGCTTTCCCGATCTCGTTGGGAGTTTTTTTTAACAATTTTATAAGCCTTGTTAGGTAATCGGCGAGCTCCTGCAGCTGCTAGTACATGACACGCTGCAGAACAAAGATCACGTCTCCTGAGAGTGGAAGGCCCAGCCTGGCCAGACTCCAGGAAGCTCCAAACGGCGGCCGCCGCGCTTTCCTCAAAACGCGCTTTCTCGTTTCGGAGAAAAGCCCTCCGTGTTCACGCCGGGCTATAACAGGAAGTTTATGTGTCTCCGTCGCTGTGAGGGAATTGCGTATCATTCGGTTTTTACGCACGCTGTGGTTTCACAGCCCTGATTGAAGCAGAGAGCTGCCAGCAACTGGCTGCTGACATCTGATGGTTAATGTGCTGCTGGCGCCTGCAGCTGTTCATACACTTTGTCGCTTCCCGACCGCAAACTTCACTGTACTTCTGGATCAGAGGAACATTTTCTGAATGTTGTGCTAATACAAAGAAGAAGAAAAAACCTTTCAGTCCAATGCTCCGAACTAAAAATCCGTCCCGGCCATATTAGTCCACTTGTGTGGAGCATGGTGGTGGTAGAGTCATGCTATGGGAGGGATTTTCCTCATGTCGGCGCTAAATGCAGGGGAAAATCCGTGGAAGAAAACCTGTTGGAGGACGAAAAAGATCCAACTTTATTTAAGAATTGAACCTTTTCCTTCCACTTTGGAGTTATGTGGGACTTTGTGTTCTTTAAACTCATAAAACCCCAATAAAAAAACCATTGAATGTATGCGGTTAAATCCTGACATGACGTGGAAAAGTTTCCGACGATGTACTTCGTGTACAAGTCAGGTTTGAAGGGAGAGTTTATGGCTGAATTTCCATTTTTTTGGACCTTAACCAGTGAAAAAAGTGAAGCTAACCTGGCTCTGTTTCAGTATAAAACCATAACTGTGGATGTGCCGCAATAATAATATTCTGTATATAGTTTTAAAATAACCTAAACTGATGTATTGTACGAGCCTTTGTTGGTTTCTTGTGCTATCCCCCCCACCCTGTAACCCCATTCTTCATCTTGTTTCCATGTCTTTCCGTGTTTTTCCATGTAGCCTGCGGTTTTGACGATTCCTCCTGGGAGTCATAACTTTCCTCCCCTCAACATGTCCATCAAACCCCAGGCTATTTTGGGCCTCCTGCGACCAGCAGAGAGTGGGAAGAAACCGCGAACGAGCCGGGGCCGCTTCCTGCGTGGGCCGCGGACGCGGCGTTAGCCTAGCGCTCGCTTATCGGCTGAGCGACGCGGGGTTATGGTTTCCAGATGTGAAAGCCCAACAGCTGGGTTGTTTTCCTTCTCTTCCTTTTGACAAACGGTGGGTTGGCAGCTTCTTTGCGACCGAGGCTGGGCTTTAAATATAAAGGGTGAAAAATGTAGGATTTACCTAAAAACCACTTTCTGAACACAGATAGACCTTCAGCTCATTGGTGCACTGATGCTTGTCTACCTGTACTGTGTGGCTCCTACAGGTTAATATGACAACACCTTTCCGGGATCTTAATTCTGCAACGAGTTTATGATGAATATTTCTGCAGTCGGATGGAAAATTGACAAAGAAACTTGTTTTCATTTTGGGCACAGGCCAAAAATGAAATACGTTTTTCACATACATTTTATGTAGTTTTTGTAATTTCTCGCAGCGTTTTCTTTCTGATCAGCTCTAACGTTTGTGATCAGCAGGTCTAACGTCTCCGTTGGCAGTTGCCTGCAAGAATGCCTGACCTCTCCGTTTGGTCCCCGTTTGCGTGTTCTGGTCGGACACGGTTCGTTTTCAGGCGCTCCACTTGTGAAGTATGCGATGGACTAATTAAAAGAGGAGACTGTTGGTCTTGTCCTCCCTCCTCTGCTCCGATTTAACAAGCGTCCTCCAGCCCGGATGGACGGGCCGTAATGAGTTGTTTGGAAGCACCGACGGTGCCCACGGCTTTATTGGGGCCATCGAGGGGGCCCCCCTTCACCATGGGAACCTCTGCCATGGAAACCAACCCCTGAAAGGAATGACCCCTTCAAGTACTGCTGTGTGGATCTCTGTGTTGCTAGACACAAGCGTTCTTTTCTTTACACTTTGACCTGGGAACACACAGAATAGAACGAAACCTTTGACCTCTCGCAACATCAAATTTCTCTGATTGGTGCACTTACACTCGGAAAAAAAAAAAAAGGAAGTAAACTTTCATTTTTAAAAAGGTTTTACGCCTTTAACCCTCCTGAAAGTTTCCACGTGACTCGATGTTTTGCTAGTTTTGCCTGTGCATGC